CAACTCTTTTTTTTTTGTTTTTAGTGATACATCGTGTTACAGTTCCCACTCGAAGGTTCTCTTCGACATGAAATAGCAATCAGGCGAATCACATCATCTGCGCAAAAGTGGAGAGATACAGTCGACTTTCGTCTGGATACACCTTTTGTATTCTACTCAATACGTCTTTGATACTTTATGTACACTATGAGCTCGCTTATGAATTACATAAGCTTTTTTGACAAGGTTCGCCTTTAAAGTACACTAGTTGCGTTGCAACGAAAGTCTCTTCGGATCAACGACGAATGATGCGGCTGTCCCATGAAATCTAATTGACCACTCAGCATGAAGTTTTAACGCTGAACTGCGCACCTGACTGTGCGGAAGGATGGATTATACAGAGTGATACTCGAATATTCCCAAGTCGTGATAACGCTTTAAACCATTCGGCAAATTCGGCACGTAACGACATTGAAAAACAACAACACACATCTCATTCTCCTTATTCGGTGTAGCTCCGTACTCTATAACCTTGGAAATCAATGTTAACAGGGTAATAAATAACTGCAGCATTCGAAACAAGGACAAAACCAACAAAAAGTGTGTTAGCAAACATGAAATACTTTACTAGCACATTGCACAGAACTAAACGGTTTTGCAGCCGCCACTAAAAACTCTCGAAGCGTTTTGACCCGGCCGCAGCGCCAAACGACTCGCATTAAACTTTGTCATTCCGCTAAAAATGTTCAAAAGTTATGCTACAGTTCGTACCTAAGGTCAATGTATATACATTCATAAACAAACCTTACACGCGTTGTCTGCTATAGATAGGCTCCTGTCATGAGTTTTTTCAGACTGACATATCGATAACATCATGTTATTTCTTGACTACGAAAGGCATGACGTCGATTACGAAAAAGTCGAAATTTCACATTTTGAATAAATTTTACAATACCACCAGATTAGACCGAGTGCGGTGCTTCGCCGATGATCTGCTGAATCTAATCTTATATTAAGGTGTACGACAATGAATATTCAAGTACTCTACTGACAATGAATAGTCAACGAAGAGTCCAAGAATGGTCAATGAATAGTAAAAAATGTTTCCACTCAAAAGCCCTTTAGCAGCGACTGCAAAAAAAAAAAAAAACGGCGCTGATAACAGTGATAAGGAGAGGCAAGGCTACAGGAGAAAGGGAAGAAGAATAAACGGCACGGACATACAAAGATAAGATTCACAGACAACGATTCGCGCTAGGACACCAATCCAGGACTTCAAACTCAGCGAAGGGTCTAAAGCGCGAGGCAAAAAACTGATATGTCTTTCGATTTCTTGGTGTAGGGGGTGTGTGTGCGCCTCCTCCTAATCTCAACCTGCGCTATCACGGGGGAGGTTGGGAGATAAGGGGGCGGGCACTGGTTGATAACGCGCTACGAGAACAAGCTAAAAAAACACAACTGCGCTTGCGCATTAATGACGCGTTAGCGATAACAGCGATGTGTGTACAGCAGTGACAGCAACAACAAAAAAGGTGCGGTGCGATAACAAAAAGAAAAAAAAAGCCACGCGAGTGCGTCACACTTTCAAAAGAAAAAAAAAACAGTCATACACGTGCGGTGACAGTGGACGTTAGAGAGTCTTAGCACGACGTAATTTGCGCGGCAAACCTCGTACGCCACGTGTACTTTAAATCGTACGTTACACTTACCCCCTGTATTCTAGAACCTCCCTTCACTCAACACTTAGCCATCACTTGAAAAAGCTGACGGGAGCGCCCTCTCTAGGTACGGCGAGTCACTGCATATCAGGGATAGTCTTGCTGCGATTATTGCGTAGCGCAGCGTCATTTTCAGCCGAGCGGTGGCGCAGTGCTCAACTCTTTCAAGCGAAGGGTGAAAGTCGGGTCGAGGAGCGTTTGTGAATACGGGGGTTACACCGACTATGAGAAGCACTGTGATCCAGTACATGTGGTGCGATAAAATTTATTAACAGGGATAAATGTCACCCTAGCGAGCTCGAGTTACACCATGCACTGAGCTTTTTTACACGTGGAATCGCAAGGCCACAATCGGAGCTTTGCGCGAATGGTATAGTGAGCGCTGAAAAAAAAAAAAAAAAAAGCGCCCATCTTTGGTGTTCTGTGCATAGGTACTTGCTCTAATGTCGCAGCGCAATTACGTTATGCTAAAGCTCCTCATTTGGAGGCTAATGCAAACGGTGGTGTTCCTACAGGGGTGGTATATAGTATAACTCCGCTACAGCTACACAGGGGCCGGATGTGACACTAAGCTAAGATGGTTTATTGACGGATATTGACAAACGAGATATTGAGTCCATATAAGGTGAAATCTTTAACGTTGGTCAGTATTGAGCGCCGTCATTTAACGATACTGGGGCTTATAAAAAAAAAAAAAGGTTGGTAGAAACCTTACACGCTGGGTGCTTCCCCAGAGTGTGCTCGTGATTGTGTGTACCTTCTTATCTCTCTGCAACCTCTTTTCTCCCCTTCATCCCTTCCCCAGTGCAGGGTAGCAAACCGGATGTGCTTCTGGTTTACCTCCCTGCTTTTCCTTGCATCTTTATCTCTCTCTGGATAAATCGCATTGTAGTTACTGGGCTGCTTATACGCAGACGTGCTCACTTTTCGCAGTGGCAAATACTTTTGGTCCGATCACAGTCAAGTTACACTCTGAGCAGCTTTACTGTGATCGAGTAGGTGGCGGACAGTTCGTTAAAACTCGCCCCGTCGGCCGGTGCATTCACACCACGCTGAAAGCCACCGGCGGTGCCTACGCGATCGGGTTCAGAGACAGCGTTTTCAGGCAAACTTGTGGCACCCCTCCCTGCTGTCCAACTGTTCGTGCTGTCCGGTTTTCTCAGTGTGGAAATTTCCCGAACAGGCGCTGAAATCGAATGATTATCTCTATAGCCTCGATCGGCAAGGTACACGTGTGGTGATTGCTTAGACTAGCGATTATACAAGGTATAACAATCTAGTGCGCGTCTGGTGTTGCTTAGATGAGCGAAAATACAAGATTGAACTACGCCGCACTTGGCACTATTCTTAAGGCTGTTTGTTGATGCGTCTTCTTTGCATGTGAGCGATTTTTTTTCTTTTGTATGCTGTTTGAACACAGGCTAGTTTGGCGGTGTTTCTACACGCTACCGTAGGACATAACTATCAATGTTGGCACAGTACAGTAGTTCGTTTGATTCGTTTAGTGCTGGGGCTTACATGAACACGGTAGTAGTTGAGCTACATGATATATACTAAGAGTAGGCTGGATATGTGGGGAAGACAAACTATTACTAATAAATCCTGTTCAAAACTTACGCACTATTTATACAAGATTTTTTTTCCCCGGCAGTGCACCGCTTCATTAAGGCTGATCAGGCTTTCAAAAAAAAAAAAAGTGGGCTGCGGTTTAAATTCAGTCAACGCATTTTTCACGAACGAAAGGTACATTCGGATTGGTTTGGCCAAGACTATACACACCGTGTTTCATCAAACCATCGGCTGGTCCCGTGGTACCACAGCAGCGACGCTACGAGCGAGCGCGGCTGTGATGCCTCTCCGCGGCGGATCACGTGACGTGACGTCACGCACACGCTCCGGCTACTCAAGGTCACTGCGACTCGATGGGTGACCTTGGGAGACGTAGCGCCGTATAGCTTTAGCGCTAAAAGTTTCCTGGTTACTTGAGGCGCCTCTAGCCTACCATGAACCTTGTCGTAAATATAGTAAAGACAAAAAAAAAACTGCAGTACCAACATTTTTGTACGTATTTTTTTCAAAACAGCGGTACATACTAATAAAAATATCCTCTTTTTCACCTCAAATACTCTCAACGTCAACGCAAGTTTGCATAGACTGCGATTGGTCTCGATGCTCTATATTTTTCTCAACAGTCTTGATTTTCCTAAACAGGAGTAAAGTTATAGTATAAAAATAAATTACGCGCCACAGGTTACGACAACTTAGACATTCGCAAGCGCTAAAAAATGTCATCCCCCCCCCCCCACTTTTTTAAATATGAGCCTCAGCCGCAGCTTTAGCGCTTCAGTAATTCCACGTCTTCACGATGATTACATTACCATCGTTTATCTCTCTATATTCTTTAAGAACAAGAGACCCTCTTCCGACAGTTAAACGCCTAAGCCGGCGATCAACGTTCCTAGACGTGCGGTCTAACTTTTAAGGGTGTACAATGCGATTATGACGTGTACACTGCGTCGGTTTAGCGAAAGGGCTACCAACGTGGTTTAGCAAGAACGTCGTCATGCACCGTCGTCACAAAGCATCCCAAGATGCCGCGCCATACGACCCAAATTTGAACGTCCAAGCTCCCAACACGTCAGGCGGTTACGTGTGACGTAAGCTCCTTAACAGCGTCACATAACCTCACGTCTCGGCATTGTCCCAGCGGGTCACAAAACAATGGTTTCATCTATAGTAACGTCATAATCGTCGCTGTACTCCGACACTGGCGATCTCAGATAAAAGATGGCGCGACCGTTTCGGAGCTTTACCGACAATCAGGCGTTCTCCTCCGACACTGGTGGCCAGGTAAAAAAGACTAAGCGGTTAAGTCGGGAGTTTTTACAGGTATAGGTGCTGTATACTCCAGGACTGGCAACCAGACATTTAAGCCGAGTATCTCGAAGTCTAGTAGCGATGCACTTGTCACACTCAACTGCGAGCTTATCGCGGACCGACCGCCAGAGGTCACTTGGACCGGATCCCAGCGTGACCAGACCGAACGCGCGAGACCAGATCATACAGAACACAGAGTACAGGCGTGCCACGTTCCACAGGTTACCTGACGCTGACACCGTGGCCATCACGCATGCATAACTTTTGCCAACAACAGTTTGAACTTAACACGCACACAAAATAAAACTGCGGCACTGGGAGACCACCACACTCGACAGCGCTGGAAGTTGCCGTACGATGCTTTCTCGAAGCGAGCATTTCTACGCATACATGAACAATACAAAGCATACATTTTGTCCGCGTCAACTTTTTCTCTTTTTTTTTAGGAACCTGCGTCGTAGATAACGGAATACCACTTTTGCAGGACGTGCACGGCATCGGTCAAGCGCAGTACTTTTCGCTACTGGAAACGACACTACAGTCGGTTGCACCGCTGCCCAGAAGCGGTCACTAGTCACAGTCTTTTATAGGACCAGAGGGAGTAGAGTCCCCAGCTATACATGTACCATAGAATCGGCCTAAATCGTTCTACACTTATGTTTCAACTCGTCGTAGTGACCGCTTCGACTTATGCACTCCACCTCTCGTCGTTCCAGGACAGCTCAAGCCGAGAAAACGAGCTGCTGCGGGCAACAATGGGACATTGTCTATAAAGCGACGTGCCGTTGCAAGTAGCCAGCGCTGACTGTTTGATGACGTCCTGCTCAGGAAGCGTCCGTAAAGTGCGATCGAACGCATTCGCAAAGTCACTTTCGGGAAGTAAAGAATGGCTCGCAGCTGCTGCTTTAGACCAAGCGCAGTTTCCAAATCTCGAATCACGTGCACCAACTGGCCAAACTTTCGGTATCGTTGGATCTCGACTCGGAAACCAGTGAGACTCGGCTTGATTGGCACACCTTGGTCACATGTGTAGTTTTAAAAACGGAGCCTGGGGGCGTCTTTCAGGGTAGTCGTGTGACAGAAAAGGGCGGCTAAGGCCGAGCGGTGCCACCACCCTTGTCTGTATACCCAAATCACCAAACTTCAACCCTGAGACTTGTCTTTCATGGTAGCATCGTGAATGTCAGCCTATGTCTCCGACCTCGAAAGAGAACAGCCAAACTCGTTGTACACGGATAGTGGCAGGCACGCGAGATCAACAAAGCGGCCTAAAAAACCAAGCAACAACACTAGACGCACTTGGAACGATTTTCTGGCATATGTTCTTGTTGGAACCGTTGGAGTCGTCACCCAGGTCATCGTTGGAACTGTCACTCAGGTCATCGTTGCAATCGTCACCAGGACCTGGTTCGGTACACTTTCGGGTCCCCGTTGGAACCGACCCTCAGGAGCTTATTGAAACCGTCACTCAATCACACTCGTCGTACACAAAACGCCCACGCCACAGACGCACGTGCGCATGCGCTAGCAAACACCATTTCAGATGAAGCAGCACAGCTTCTTCCATCCGGTCTTCTTTCCCTCGTAGTCCCTCGCGCCTCGCCGGTCCAGCGACATGGCTCGCCTCCGGGGAAACGGCACGAACCCGTTGCTGAACTGTCCCGTGCCGTTCCTGGAACCCGGCGACGACCTGGAAGGGAGAAGGTTGAAGCCCTTGCCGACGAGGCCAGGGCTGTTCCGGCGCAGCGCGGCGACGATGGCCGTGTCGAAGACCTCCTTCAGGTTCTTCTGCGTGAGCGCCGAGCACTCGACGTAAGCCAGCGCCCCCATGCGGTGGGCGGCGTGCCGCGCCGCGGACTCCGGCACGGGTTCTTCGCCGTAGCGGGCGAGCTCGATGAGGACCTGCGCAGCCAGGTGACGGGATACGGAGGCGAGGGTTAGCGCGAGTTAAGCCTAACGCGGCAGGGAACAGCGTCAGAGCGTTTACCAGTACAGATGTGAAACGCAGACGAGAAAAGCAGCGAGTTAAATGGCGTGAAGAAGTTTAGAAGTCCGCAGGGATAAAATAGAATCGGCTCGCACAAGGTAGGGTAAAAGATCACTGGGAGAGGCTTTCGTCCTATGGTGGACATAATTAAGCAAATAGTTATGACGGTTATGATGATGAAGCGCGCTCACCTTGACGTCAGTGCGCAGGTCGCACTGGGTGCCGACGAGCACGATGGGGGCGTCGGGACAGTGGCGCCTCAGCTCGGGCAGCCACTTCTGGGAGGCGTTCTGGAACGACGTGGGGCACACCACGGAGAAGCAGAGCAGCAGCACGGCCGCGTTCGGGTAGCACAGGGGCCGCAGGGAGTCGAAGTCGTCCTGCACCAGGGCAGAGAGAAAAAAAAGACGACACGGGGCAGTCAGTATGACATTAAGGCGAATGCCTTGTATGTTTCGCGAATCGAGAAGGTTTCGACACTTCGCGAGAATTCCCGATAACTTCGCGAGAACGACGTCGGCGTGAACAAAAAGAAAGAAACAAAAACATTGTCGTCGGTTCAAGTAAATGTACGAAAGCAGCCGGCGTACTCGGAAGGTCCCGTGACATCACTGTACAAGGCCAACATCAAAGACGAAAGAACACGACATTGCCACTCTGACGTCATTGGCGGAGGCTACGCGAAACAACTTTAGGAGCAGCTAGTTACCAAGGAGAGAGGGGGGTCAAAACAATAAACTCGGATAAAAGCGAAGCAGAAAAATCCGCGCTAAATCCCAAAAAAAAAACAGACCCTCACTTGCACTAAATTTGCTAAAAACGAGTTTTAAGTCGGTTGCAGACCAGTTCCGGTCAACATTGTGTAGTCATCCGCCTTGCGCAACATGACAGTGGAACAACAAAAGGATCCCTGGATCAGTGGCCTCATAAGCATTCTTTCTGATCCTCTCACTCCTTCGCCGTCTCGTGCTCTCCGCCGCCAGGCTAGCAACTTTTGCCTAAGGGATGATCTTCTTTATCGACGCAACTACCTTTCTGACGGTCGCAAGTGTCTCCTTGTGATACCCGCCATCTTCGAGCTGCCATTTGCGAAGCTTTTCACGCGGACCCACAGTGCGCCCACGCAGGCCTCTTCAAGACACGCTAGGCTTCGACTCAGATTTTATTGGCGTGGCATGTATAACTACGTGCGAAAATTCATACGCTCGTGTGCTTAGTGCCAACGACAAAAGTTACCTCCCGGGCAAGTCTACCCGTCACAACCTCTTCCTTGTCCTAGTCGACCTTTTGATCGCGTCGGCATTGACATTTACGGACCACTACCATCAACTCTAGCTGGTAATCGCTGGATTATTGTTGCGATAGACCATCTGACACGCTATGCCGAAACAGCCGCGCTGCCGACTGCCACATCCCGTGACGTTGGAACGTTTCTGTTGCAACGTTTCATTCTGCGTCATGGTGCCCCTCGCGAGCTCTTAAGTGACAGAGGCCGTGCCTTCCTTTCTGACGCCTTGAAGGCATTACTCAACGAATGCCGAATCGTGCACCGCACAAGTACAGCGTACCACCCTCAAACAAATGGCATGACGGAGCGCTTCAACCGTACTCTTGGCAGTATGCTGTCGATGTACGTCGCCTCTGATCATTCAAATTGGGACCAAGTTCTCCCGTTCGTCACCTACGCGTATAATACTGCCGTACAAGCTACTACTGGGTTTTCGCCATACTTTCTTTTGTACGGACGAGAACCTTCAAATACAGTAGATACTATTCTTCCATATAAACCTTACGAGTCCGAAAGTACAACTCTGTCCGAAGCTGCCCGACATGCTGAAGAATGCCGCCAGCTTGCCCGCTCTTTTCTACCGAGGACCAGTGGCAGCAGCCTAACAAACACCATCTCAGATGAAGCAGCACAGCTTCTTCCATCCGGTCTTTCTTCCCTCGTAGTCCCTCGCGCCTCGCCGGTCTAGCGACATGGCTCGCCTCCGGGAAACGCACGAACCCGTTGCCGAACTGTCCCGTGCCGTTCCTGGACCCGGCGACGACCTGGAAGGAGAAGGTTGAAGCCCTTGCCGACCAGGCCGGGGCTGTTCCGGCGCAGCGCGGCGACGATGGCCGTGTCGAAGACCTCCTTCAGGTTCTTCTGCGTGAGCGCCGAGCACTCGACGTAAGCCAGCGCCCCCATGCGGTGGGCGGCGTGCCGCGCCGCAGACTCGGGCACGGGCTCCTCGCCGTAGCGGGCGAGCTCGATGAGGACCTGCGCAGCGAGGCGACGGGATACGGAGGCGAGGGTTAGCGCAAGTTAAGCCTAACACGGCAGGAAACAGCACCAGAGCGTTTACCAGTACAGATGTGAAACGCAGACGAGAAAGGCAGCGAGTTAAATGGTGTGAAGAAATTTAGAAGTCCGCAGGAATGAAATAGAATCGGCTCGCACAAGGTAGGACAAAACATCACTGGGAGGGGCTTTCGTCCTATGGTGGCCATAATTAGGCAAATAGTTATGACGGTTATGATGATGAACCGCGCTCACCTTGACGTCAGTGCGCAGGTCGCACTGGGTGCCGACGAGCACGATGGGGGCGTCCGGACAGTGGCGCCTCAGCTCGGGCAGCCACTTCTGGGAGGCGTTCTGGAACGACGTGGGGCACACCACGGAGAAGCAGAGCAGCAGCACGGCCGCGTTCGGGTAGCACAGGGGCCGCAGGGAGTCGAAGTCGTCCTGCACCAGGGCAGAGGGGAAAAAGACGACACGGGGCAGTCAGTATGACATTAAGGCGAACGCCTTGTATGTTTCGCGAATCGAGAAGGTTTCGACACTTCGCGAGAATTCACGATAACTTCGCGAGAACGGCGTCGGCGTGAACACGAATGATATAAAAAAAATAAAAGAAGAAACAGTGTTGTCACGTTGCACTCCAGTGAATGTATGAGTGCAGCCGGCGTACCGAAGGTCACGTGACATCAATGTACCAGGCCAACATCAATGACGTAAGAACACGACATTGTCACTCTGACGTCATTGGCGAAGGCTATGCGAAACAACTTTAGGAGCAGCAAGCTACCAGGGAGGGAGGGGGTCAATACAATAAACTCGGATGAAAGCGAAGCAGAAAAATCCGCGCTAAATCCAAAAAACAGACGCTCACTTGCACTAAATTTGCTAGAAACGATTTTTAAGTCGGTTGCAGACCAGTTCCGGACAACTTTGGTATGAATTCTAGACAACTTAAAGAGTTCTGGAAGAAAAATAAATAAGCATATTCTAGATCAGTACTATAGGCATAAGCGAAGGGTAGACCACTTCGAAACAAAACATCGTTGTTAAATTTGCTAATGTACGTGGCATAAATTCGTGGATAATCTAATGTAAGTAGCACTTCCTGCGTGCACCGTGTGCGACGTACGAAAAATGGCAGAAGGTCACCATGCTTCACTGTGTCGAGTACGGGCCCACACTCGATATTATGCGCTCCTTGCGACCACTCAAAACAAATCAGAAACTTCTCCTCCGCTTTTATACAACCCTTCGAACGTCGTTACAAGGACCATATGTTGGACCACAGTTCCCTCCTTCAACAGCACACACGACGAAACGCGGTGCTAAACCTTGGCCTTCGTTTGCATAGAAAGACGTCGTCAGTCCTCGTACAAACGAGGCTGGCGCAGCCACGCCCTCTCTTGTACTTTCCGCTCATATAAACAACAACGCTCGCATGAGTGCGCAGATGGCCGTACGGCAAACAAAATTGAATAAAAAAAATGAGGAACAGACATGATTACACTCCAGTGTACGTGTGCGAAACACCCGTCCTCCCCGTATCGTTATGGCAGACGACGATGATGTGCGAGATGAGATGACGATCGACTTGTTAGTCTTGTGTGAGTGAGTGAGGGTATGTGTGTTGGGTGAACGTATGTCAAGGACGCATGCTCGATTTGTGCGTAGTATTATATACACGCGTTTCGAAACATACATCGAGGAAGAAAGTAATTACGCGCGCCCACGCGACGGAAAGACCTTTTACGTTTTTTTTTTTTTTACGACGACGTGCAGCAACAGTCTTTCGTTTCGGTGTTCTCGCTTGCAGAGCGAACGAAGGGGACTTTCGTTTTCCATAGCCTTCGTGCTTTAATTTGTTGTCCTGTACGCACGATTTGTGCCCACGGAAACAGACCGACGTCTTTGCATGTTTTCCGTCTGAGTGAAATAATGCCGTCACCTGTCGGTGGTCTTTGGACTGACAGACGGATATGCAGACATACATACATACAGACAGACAGACAGACATACAGATAGATAGATAGATAGACAGACAGACAGACAGACAGACGGACGGACGGAAAGACGGATTTACAGACAGACAGGCGGACTGACAGACAGACAGACAGACAGACAGACAGATAGATAGATAGATAGATAGATAGATAGATAGATAGATAGATAGATAGATAGATAGATAGATAGATAGAAAATGACCTGCTGGCAGGAACACATAGGCTAAACGCCAGAGCCCCGCAGTCAACGGGAGCCGCTGTTCTTGGTGCATGAGCAGATACGGTACACCAATTCGGTCAGAAATCAGATATGCCTACACCATTAGAAAAATCTTCGCAGGAGAGGCTCTAAGGAGACATCGTATTGAACGGGAAAACATGACAGTGCAGGTGCGCTGAATTCCCATTGTCGAACCGAGCAGCTGTTGTTGAGAGGTAGCGAGAGAAGAAAGAATTAAAAGGAAAAAAGGCAGCGAAGATATTGTTGCGTCCCGCTGCCAGTGACGTCTTCGAGGCGAGCGCGATGTCGCCGCCACTCAGTTCCGCGAACGCAGCGACTGTTGAGGCTGACCATTGTGTCGCGGGACGGTGCGCTGGCGCCACGGCTGGGCCCTGCGGAATGCGGCGGCGGTTTCGGGGAACGAAAGATTCGTCGCTGCTTCTTGGAGGGATGGGTCCACCCGGAACAACTGAGCATAGAGCTGAGGGGAAGTCGGGTTCCGGGTGGACGATTCACCCCCTTGATCCCCCCCTCTGACTGCGGGCCGCCCCTGCCTTTCGTGAAGTGGACTGATGGACCGAGATAGAGGGAGAGGGGCGGCAACGAGAGGGATAAAAAGGACGGAGGAGACGGCGGGCGCAGAAGGGGGAACAACGATGACCAGTTAACTTTTCTTTGAATGCAAATAAATCCTTTTTTTCAAGTTTCTTAAATGGACGTCCTGCTTTCATGACCTGCCTGATCTTGGTCATCCCACCCAATCTACCCCGACGACGCTACAAACTGGATGGCAGCGGTGGAATCAAGAAAAGGCATGCAGAAAACTGCGGACGGAAGATCGACTTCTGTGGATCCGGGATCAGCAGAACGAGACCTCGTGGCTCCGGGAGGCACAACCGTCGCAGTAACGGCATGAAGTTTTGGACGACTCCAGGAAACTAAGGACGAGCAGCAGAAGGCAGACCAGACGATCTGGGATCGGCGGTCCTGTGAACGTGGCTCTGGGAGACACGTCCTTCGCCAGCTCGAGGTTGGAAGTAGCTGCGGACGGAAGATCGACTTCTGCGGATCCGGGATCGGCAGAGCGAGACTTCGTGGCTCCGGGAGGCACAACCGTCGCAGTAACGACTACCGGAAACTAAGGACGAGCAGCAGAAGGCAGACCCGACGATCTGGGATCGGCGGACCTGGGAACGTGGCTCCGGGAGACACGGCCTTCGGCAGCTCGAGGTTAGGTGAGTGCTTGAGCGATCACGTTTTGCCGGACGATAAGAACAGGGTTCTATCGGGCAATTGGCTCTGAAGGGCCGCCACAAGTGTGCGGTGAATATTGCAGAAGTATTGGTTGGCTCTTGTGAAGATATGGATATCGGAGTGTTAAAGAAAGAAGAGCTGTTGCTGTTAGCAGTAGAGCTCAGCTTGGATATCAATAGCAGGTTAAGGAAGCCCGAAATTCGCAGTGCGATAATCGAAGGGGGTTTCGAGGAGGACGAGCTCAGCGAGGCCTGGGAAAAGATATGTGAGGAGAAGAAACAAAGGGAGGAAGAAAAGAGGGAAAGAGCGGAAGAGAAGGAAAGGCAGGAAAGGAGAGAACAAAGACAGGCCGAAATTGAGCTCGAGAGAATAAAGCTAGAGCAGGCGAGATTAGCACGCAGTGCAGATGCGGCGCCGCCGCATACTGAGAACCTGAAGATGACGAGTTTGCTTCAGCCGTACAAAACAGGCGAGGACATTGGTCTCTACCTGATTAATTTTGAACGGATCTGTGAGAAACATTCATTTCACCAGGACACCTGGCCAGAGCGGTTGCTTGCGTTGTTACCGGGTGAGGCCTCGCAGGTCGTGGCCAGACTGAGCGCAGCCGAGGCAGGCGTATACAGTTCAGTGAAGTCGACATTACTCGCAAAATACAGGCTCTCCACAGAGGAATTTCGGAGGAGATTTAGACGGGAAAGAAAGAAGCCTGGTGAAAGCTTTGTTGAGTTTGCGTGTAGCCTGAGTGATAATTTTTCAGAGTGGGTGAAAGGAGCAGGTGCGGATAACTTAAGTAAACTGAGGGATCTAATTTGTTTGGAGCAGTTTTATGACACCCTGCCGGATAACGTGCGCCTGTGGGTCAAGGATAGGCAGGAAGGTGTGTCGGTTAGGAGTGCAGCACAGCTTGCCGACGAGTACGTGGCCAGTCGAGGCTTCAGGACCCCGATCAACAGCGCACATCACTATCAAAGGCCTGCACCACGGCCCCAAGCTTACACTCGAGGACCGCAAAGCGCAACAAAAGAGCGAGAGGAAACTAATCAAAATTCGGCGCGTGCTGAAGGCAAGCTGAAAGAGCCGGAAAAGAACAGAAAGGAGGTCAGAAATCATTTAGAAGAGTTAGAGTCGCGAGCTAAGGCGCTATGTTTCAAGTGCAACGAAACAGGTCACTTTGCCCGAAACTGCTCAAAAGGTAGGCCAGTGTTTGCTTGCGTAAGCGATCACCCGAGTAACCTAGATCTTTTGAAACCTTACACGACAGATTTAATGGTTAATGACAAAAGGTGTAGGGTACTCAGAGACTCCGCGGCCACTATGGACGTAGTCCATCCGAACTACGTAAAAAGTGAAGACTACTTATCCGAATGCGCGTGGATAAGACAGGCCGTCAGCGAAGATTCAGTGTGTTTACCTATGGCAAAGGTACACATTCGGGGTCCTTTTGGAGCGATCGAGACAGTAGCAGCAGTCTCCCGTGGGCTACCAGAGGGCTACCCGTACCTTTTCTCGAACAGCTCGGAGTCACTACTCAACGACAGGGGGTGCACTTTTGCTGATGCCCAGGTCATGGCTTTGACGAGATCGAAAGCACGCGTATTGGCTCAGCAACTGCGTTACGGGGAAGGGGAAGGTGCCAAAGCGAAAGAGTTAACAACTGAATCCGCAGAAGTTAAGCCCGACGAGGCACTTATCCCTATTCCTCCGACCGAAAATCCGGAAAATGGTCAGATTAAGAAGCCGATAATTGAGAAAAGAAAGAAACCTTCGAAAGGAAAAGATCATAGTTTGCAGGGGTCCGTGTTGGCCCCAATCTCGCACAGCTACGAGCGCATGCTAGGGGTTGACAGGGAAGCGTTACGGCTGTCTCAGAAAACTGACCCTAGTATAGCGGTTATGAACAACGGAAACAGTGAAGGTGTTTCGTCAAGAAACATCTCTTTCGAAGTGAGGAACGGTATCCTATATCG